TGTCCGTGGCGGACATTTGAAAGCGAGTAGATGACAAACAGTACAGTAAACTTGTAGATAACTCAAATATATGTAATAACTTAGGTGGAAAATGCAGGCATCACCGATGTTTGTTATCACTGTTCTGTAGATTAAAGTTGTGTTTTTGTTGAACGGTCCAATGTCTTTATATCCTCCTCCTGTTGCTGCACTGAATATCACCTTGGTTCTTTCTGTGTAAAACAAAACATACTGATGTTTCTCATGAAGAGACTTTTAGTGACCATGTGAATAAAACTTGTCTGCCAGGAGACACGTTCTCTCCTGCTACTTCCATCTTTTGTTGTTTAGTTGGTAGGACTTGTTTTGTTTCAGCTCATGTAATCGTGTGTATTCCATCATTAAACACAAAATGCTTTATTAATTATTTAATATAATCTTTCAATTGCACTTTACCTTTGTTCCTCAGGTCCCAAATCTGGTTTTCGCTGTCCTCCAGCCTGGTTTCCATAACTGCAATCTTTTCTTTCATGGCACCGAATGCCATCAGGAGATCACACATGTCAGGTTGACATGTTCGTGTATCATCAGGTTTTTCTGTGATGGCGTTACCATCATCCTGGGCCAAAATCAAGCTGCTGGACAGAAAAACAAACAATAAAACGGCAAAATTCATCTTCCAAGTTGATTCAAGATCGTTCAGTCAGCTAAACTCTGACTGATGTGATCCCTCTGGCTGCTTTTATGGTCTTCAAAGATGACCTGTTAATTTTTAACCTCCCATTAGATACATGGCTTTATCATGTTAATTTTAAGATCAGTGGACAAGCAATGAGAAAATAACAATAATTAAAAAACTAATTTCATGAACAGTGAGGGTGGGGATCAGTGATTGAACACTTATTTGTGGCATTCCCTCTATCAAATGAAGCCACTAATGAGCTGTACGCACAGTAACATCAGTCTGATGTGAATGAAAGGAGACATAATCCGGTTTAAATGTTTACGAAAAAGTTTAAATTACACTGAGTCACACGCTCAACTATACTGCATGTCAATCAATGAATTAAAGGGAGAATCATTATCAACATACAATATACATGCACATTTGTCTTTGTACATTTTCACACATTACCTATGTTTTATACAGTGTATGGAAATGAATTTTGCATGATATTTAAATTACCTTCTGTTAACACATTTCGACCCTACAACACCTTTAACCATGATTTGTTCTGTTATTGCACTGGCTGAATGATTTTGTTACATTACTGTTTTGTGTTTTTCACCCTTAGATGACAATAAAAGCCTTCCTTAACCGTGACACTTGAGAAAGGTTTGATTTCTCCTCCAGCCTGCCCATCACAAGCTGCTGCAGTGCTGGACGACCATGCCTGCTCAAAGCTAATTTTCAAAAGTAGATCCATTTCTCAACTCCATATTACTTCCAATGAAACAATGAAGCAGAAAACAAAGGTATAAAAAAATCCCAGGACTGTGGCAGCAGGTTCTCACTCCCAACTTGTCAAATATGGCACCTTAGTCAGTGACCCTACGGTTCAAAATCTGATGCTTAGGGTACCCCTGTAGCATCAGTTTTGGACTCTCAGGGTCAGCAGGTCACTTTCTGTTCGATACATGCACAGTGCATTGTTAAAATAAACTCTTGTTCACAGGAAAATGTAGGTTGTGTAATGAAAACTACTTTAGCAACATAACTTTTTGGCGTCCTCATCCTCACTCAACATATTTTGATGCTTCCATTAAAGCCATCACAAAGATGACACAGAGGGCATGCATGCTTGGGTCTAAGAAGGTTACAGTTTATGTATTTTTCATACATCACATATTTAATAGATAGTTCAACATTTTGGGAAATTTGGAAAGTGTATTCCCTTTCTTACTGAGTGTTGGATGAGAAGATTGAAACCACGCTCATATTTGTATGGTAAATATGAGGCCACATCCAGCAGACAGTTAGCTTAGCTTAGCATAAAGACAGGAAGAAACAGCTAACCTGGCACTGTCTGAACAAAACCCACCTACCATCAAAACGTACTTCCCAAAATGTCAAACTAGTTCATTAAAGGTTCAGCTTGTAATTCAGGAGAAAGATAGTAGATTGTTGAATCTCATTCCCAGGGCGTCAAATGTATGTAGCTACCATGATGTTACCCACTGGTTTGTGGACTGCTGTTTTGAAGCCCAGAGTTTGGCATTTCGGCCGTCACCATCTTGGTTTTTTTAAGAGCCACAGGTGACTATATTTGGACGCAAGAGTGGAGCTGTGGAGGAGTGACGGGTGGATCTGACATCCACGCCCTTGAATATGTGTAACCTTAAGCCTTCGTACACTGGGGTCACCGAAGCTTCACTGGGGGTCACGCGGTTGGCGTAAATCTCAGGATTTCACTCATTTTTATTCAGAAAACGAAATAATTCTTTTTTTTTTTAAGTTTAGATTATTAAACTTAATAACAGTAAAGAGCTGAATACAGCCTATATCCACAGCACCTTTAATGTCTGCTAAACTGCCTCATCCTGCTTCAGAAAAGTAGTTGGAAATGGCCAAGATGACCCACAAACTTTGTCAAAAAAAATGAATGATTGTTGAAAATCAAAATATATGATGAAAAATATCGCAAAAATTAATTTCTGATGCAATATTCACAGGATTAATCTGCTGAAACACAAACTTCCTGCAGTTACTGCATTCATATTGCAGTAGTGTAATACAGTTTCAGCGGTTCAGAACTATTATGCATTGAATACAATGTGAAACATTTCTAAAATATGTCACTTCGTTAGAGGTTGTTAGTTCACTAGCCCCCTCTAAAGTTGTCATAAGTGTTGAAATTAGCTCTGGTGACCAAAACTATTTTTTATACCGGGCTGTAAACATGTGAAGTTGGGCATTTTAACATGGGGGTCTGTGGGGATTAACTCTGTTTTGGAGCCAGCCTCAAGTGGCCATTAGAGGATCTGCAGTTTATGTCACTTCTGCATTCTCAGCCTTAGAGGTTGCTGCTTGCGTCCAAATACCACCCCAAACTGGTCAGTATCAAGCTGTGGTCTGGCATCTTCTCTCTTTTGCTTTGTCAGAACATTAAGGAACCCAAGCTAGGCTAGTTTTGTTGAATATCTGTCAAACATAAATATGCCATAAAACCAAAAACAATGAGCTGACAGATGATTGATTGATGCAGCTGTAAGCCATTTATTTGATTATAAACAAAAGCAAAACAAACAGGATTCTAATACAGCTTCATAACAGATCCTGTTATGGAGAAAGTACATGGAGATATATATAGTTAGTTTCACAATAAGAGGATTATACAGAGTGATAGAACTGACCTCATCATGAAAAAGGATACAAACAGTTTAACACAGGTGTAAATATTGACAGGTGACATGTGTCCATTAATATTTAAACCATGTGTATTTGCCAATAAAAACATTAAAGTGGCAGAGGACTTTTATTTTGACAAAATGAAGGGCATTTACACCAACCTCAGCTGGACACTGATGTTGTTAGATGTTGATATTTGATTGAATTTAGGTTGTGATGTCAGGTGACCAAAATTCAATGTCAGGACAATTTCATGTAGAATACTGAGGACAGATGGCGTTGATATTTGGTTGGTTTCAAGGTGTGTCGTTAAGTAACGAAAATCTTCCAAAAGTCTGATGCCAAAGTCATCTTGACATAAAATAGCGAACGTTAGTCATGAAGTGTGGAGACCAAAACCCAACATAGTAGACAATAGTATGAATTGACCTCATCAGGAAAAAGGATACCAAACAGTTTTATATACACAACTGAGCTCTAAACTTTGAGGTAAGGTGACGATTAAGTTTTAAGAAACAAATCAGTTAACAGTAAAAAAAGCTTTAGCTAGATTTTGCCTGTTCTAAGCGGTTTCTCATGCAGGCATGCAGGGTCCAGCTGTCAAGTCTGGCATTTGGTGGAAGTACCTCTCAAAATGGACAGGAAGGCACTGATTGACAACCACATCACAAGCCACGATCACATATTGTACGTTTTGCATGAGACTTGTAACTCTGCCGTTGTTGTCGACTGTGAGATCATACACCAGCAAGCCAAAGGAGCTCATGCATAAGTTACCTGGTTGAGGAGGCAAAATGGGGTAGCCACCGCCATTGCAGATGTACGCGACCCTTCCCACATCCCAGCCCTCGATGAAGGACTGCCTGGGTCTGTGGCTGAGTCCGTACTTCCATATGTAGCTGTATAATGAGATCAGTGTTTTTACTGCAAAGTAAATGGCTGTGATAAAACACACCGTAGACACAGAATTTTAAAAATCCTGTTAAAGTGTGCGTGACTGTAATGTACATTAGTATGTAGATGTAATTAGTGGCCATTTTACAGTCAGCTTATTGACTCAATGTTTAACTCACTTTTGCCAGTCAACCCATGATAGTCTGTCAAAGGGTTCTTGGATGATGTGTCTCTGAACAAATTTGTTGTACGCATTGTTGTCAGGGTTCCACAGACAAGGCTGATTGTTCCCATCAACAACGGAAAGAGTGAGCATGACAGCGATCAACAGAACGATGTTCATCTTGTCTAAAGTGGAAGAAACAGAGTTTTGGAACAACACTGTGACCATAATTACTGCACACATTATGTTTTGAGGTTATTTTTAAGTAGTCAATCTACTGTGTTATTTATTAATGGGTACATTATTTATATTTAGGAAGTAATAGATTCAGCATTGTGTTCCTTTGGTTATGAGCTAACTGGTTCCTGCCTGCCCTTGTTTTGGGGGGACAGGTATGAGTGATACACAACAGAGACTGAGTGCCTCATGCTTAACAGTAAACAGGAGTTGCTACTGCCATCACCACCACTTTTTGTTAGCAATGAGTTTTCTCACCTGCTCTGATCAGCCGGCCTCTGTACTGTAAATGTTGCTGTGTTCGTCTGGAGGAAAGCAGTATCAGCTGATGTTGACGCTTCTGACAGACGTCTAGAAATCTCCCTTTTTAAACCTCCTCTGGTCTTGTGAACATTTGATCACAACCAATCAGCAAAAAAATAAATAAAAAAG